AAACTGCTATTTCAAAACCGCTTAACAAGCGTAGAGATTATAACCCTCTTGTATATAGAGGAGGCCAGGTCTAGTAAACTGTGATAGGCTGTTAATGCTGAATATCTGAGAACTTGCTGTATTCGCGCTGTTTCACGGTTCTTATTGGTCATAGCGTGATGTTTTATAGCCTATAACCTCCCTCAATAAATGCACTATCCAATACAAAAATAATTATTCAAATCGAACCAGTGGTTTCGGAGATTAGCGCGCTCAATCAAACAAACAAACGGTTTGTAGTATAAGATCATAAAATTGTTACAGGTGCTTTCATGGACAGACTGCAAAACGACTTGAATATGTGGATGAAAGATTACTTCAATGACTACTTGATAACCGTTGAAATCGATGGTATAGATCACATGAAAGAAATGGTGTGGGTATAACTAGAGATAATATTCAAATACTTTAAGTTGTTCCCTTCAATTTCAACCATTTATTGCAGTTTTAAAACGCACACTTAAAAATCAAATCTAACATTTATGACCTTTTTTTCACATAGTCTAATATAAAAACATCCAGAAATTAGGTATTAATACCCGATATCTGACCATGGACTTACAATGGGGTAGACGACTAATTTTTATTTTAATGTCCGTCTGATAGATTATTTAAAAACATTAGACACGTATTTTTTATTTTCTCACAGAAACGAATAGTTTCGAAGATATATTGATTTGAAATGTCGCGTGACGTCACTTCTCAGTACATTTTATACTAAGGAATGACGTTTTAGCCCCCACTCCTAAACTTTGATTTGTTTTATCTAAGTATTGTTTTATTATACGACAAAATAAAAAATACGTGTCTAATATTTTTTCATTACCTAACTTACGGACTAATTATATTTTTAATTTTCATACCCTGTCATCATCCCCATTATATTTATTATCAAAAATTGCATGTAAGTACATACCTGGATAATGTTCATACATTGAATGGAGTGCTAGCCTATCTCCCACAGTAGACGGGACCGGACAGATTATGGTAGCGAATGGCTTATCATTATTAACGCTAGGATACAGAGGGGTGCTGTGAGGCCGCGAGAAGCTCTTGTAGCCATTAGAGAGGCGGCAGCGCCCAAAAAATTAGGGGTAGGTACCTAGGAGGTACTTGCCAAAGGTTTTTTTTTCCAGATTTAATCCACCTCTGGCCACGGTAATCCCAGCTGTAGATAGGCCACTTACAATTACTGATTAAGAGCAGCTTGTATTTAGTTAAAGGTTTAATCCTTAATGTTTCGTTAAAGATCTCATAATTATATTGTGTTGTTTTCTTAATTTTTTAGAAAATACGACAAGGAGAAATCTATAGCGTTACAAGAGTACATGGACGAATCTATAGACTTAATTAAAGCCAGAGTACAAAAACTGCGTGCCCAAGTTATCAAGATACCAAACTTCACACTAAAATCCATTCATGGCCTGGTATGAATGTACCCTGTTTTTATATGTTGTATGTCTATAAAATTTTCATCTAAACTAGGTACTTCCCTTTGAGGGACACAATGAAACTGCCTCATTATTAGGTACTGACTAAAACACTATTGTATCTCGTCTCTGACGTGAGTATGAAGCCACATAGGACTTGTAACTTACGAAAAGTGGATGTTACGTTTAGTATAATATTGAGTGTCCACTCAAATAAATTATATTCGATTATAAGCCCCTATTATAGCTTGAAACTAATCGAGCAATCCTCGAACAGTTCGTGAGTGAGCCGGTTTGCAAAATTAATTTAGGACTATTTAACTTTTATTTTAATAGGAAATAAAATTATACGATGGAGCTCTGCACGGACTGGATTCCATGTACCGGCGATCAGTAGCCACTGGATTTAAAATATATGGATTACGAAAAGTCGACGCCATCGTCGGATTTAGTTCTTTAAACGTGCGTATGGTGAATGTTATCTACTCTAACGTTGGTATTACAATAATCCTGTAGTCAATTGCTGAAAAGGGCAAAGCATTATAAGGTTTTCAGATACCCCTGTTACTACTAAACGACTGGCGAAAAGCATAGTCCTTGAATCTATCAGTATCACACTAATAAAGGACATCAATAGCTGCTGTACAAAAACCTGAGGGCTTTCTCTTGAATCCAATTTTGATTGATCGACATTGACATGTGAAATTTAGTACTCTTGAATTGCAACACTAGCGCCCATTGCATCCGTATTGTGTGGATATTGAATGTACTAATTGATGATATTGACTAAAATGATATTGAATAAAATGATATTGACTGCCTCATTGGCCGAGTGGTCGCAATTGCGACTGCCGAGCAAGGGGTCTCGGGTTCGATTCCCGGGTCGGGCAAAGTATTACTGGGTTTTTAAAAAATTCTCAGTAGTAGCACGGAGTCTGGAACTGTGCCCGGTATATGGCAATAGGCTCACCCCCTATTACATGGGACTCATAACATAAATAGTGAAAAGTGGGTGTTACATTGTACAGTGGTATAATGTGCACCTCTGCCTACCCCTTTAAGGATAAAGGGCGTGATGTTATGTATGTATGTATGAATGTACTAAATTGTAGATATGAGTTTGGCTATCAATACCGTGCTCTTAATGCTATTTTACCTCTACTTATATGTATAACAGCTACTATTGGAGTTGTATAGTTTTGATTTTGAATAATTATTGAGAATTTATTTGAAATTAAATTCATATTGAGATTGGTTTCAAAATTAAGCGCCCTGAATCTCGTCTCCCGTACAATGTTATCCAATTTCTATTATTTAAACTTTTTGAAAAATATCGTCCTGATCCGTTTTTTTATTTACACAAAATGCGCTTATCCGCACATATTACATTAGTTATTAACTCCTTTACGATTTTTAGATTATAGTGCTAATTTGTCATTTTTAGGTGGTTTACAAATATGAAGCAATGATACCAACGGGTATACCGCCTCTGTCTGGTGAGCTAACTATGACAGCGAATGAAATGGCTGCCCATCTTGCTCTGACCGCGGTCGTCGACCCTGAAACCGTGGACTTGGACATCAACTTCTTGGATGCAATGAAGTAACCTATTCATATACTTACTAGTATAATGTCACACCATCAAATAACCTAATATGACTATGATATAAGTTCATAACATAATATCACGCGTTTTATCCCCGAAGCACCCACTTTTCACTATTTATGTTAAGTCCCATGTAATACCCATAATAAATTCCTTACACAAAAAATGAGTTGATATTCTGTCAAAGCATTTTTGCACTTGATGTCCTTAGTACTCATATGTTTTCTTTTTGTTATTTCCAGACCTGGATCTTTAACGGTTGAAGGTCCTGCGAACACATTAATATCAAACTTCAAACATCTGCTTGAACATGAAATCCTAACACTCATGTCGACGTCTCTAAAACATGGCATAGGGCTGCTCCGATCACTACCTCGTTGTTGTAAGAATTACTTGTATTTAACAAAATTTTGCTACATTTACTGCTTCTTGTGTACCAGAGCCCGAACTTCCTTTGGTTTGAATGATACTTTTTTATGGCATAAGCCGGTAAACAAGCAGACGGATCATCTGATGGTATGCAATCGGCGTCGCCCATGGACACCTGGAACACCAGAGGCGTTACAAGTGCGTTACCGGCCTTTTGGGAATTAAGAATTTGAGGATTATTGGGGTTTCAGGGATTGGAGTGGTTAGGGAGGGGAGGGGGGTAATTGGGCCTCCTGTAACCTCAATCATACGACAAAACACAACGCAAGCGTTGTTTCACGTCGGTTTTGTGTAAGGTCGTGGTGTCACTTCGGCCAAGCCGGCCCATTCGTGTCGAAGCATGGCTCTCTCACATTTATTATATACTGTTAATGTTAATATATACTGTAACATTTTTAGCACCATCCATACCAAGTAAACTTGTAACGGTGAAACCGAGTGATAGTAATAGATTACTAAACTTTCCTTCTGAAGATGATATGGACGATGATCGATCGAGGCTAAACAATGATAATAACGCTAACGACGACGATGAGCAACTCAGACTTGAAGATGAAGACAGTGAGAACTTTGCAATAAGGGCTAAGAAAAACAAACCAAAGAAAGCGATAGTACGGTCAAAGAACAAAAAAAAAGTAATAAAAATGCAAAGAAAGATATCAAAGAAAAACTAAGAAACAAAAATAATATCAAAAAACTAAGAAGCAAAAAATAGAGGACACAACAAATACAAAGAAGCGTAATTTTACATCGATGTGATATAAATATTTGGAATGTATGTAATAGATGGTTTTATTAAATAAATAGTAGTGTTCAGCTCCAGCTGCTATGTCCTCACTTTTTATTTAACTTTACTGTCTTTATTAATAATCTTGTCCTGTGAAAAATGAACTACTTACCTACCTATTTCCAAAGTTTGCACATCTTCCGATTTAACACTAGATCGTACGTATCATAGGTTTTCTTTTGTTCCTTTACATTTGAATCCTTAGTTATTAGGTACAGCTCCAACTAAGCGTGGTCTGTGAAAATCGCCTTGTGCGATATGACCATTGTACACAAATATTTTTTGTGTAAATCCAAAAATTAGTTTAAAATAAAGTTTGTAACAAAAACTAGAACTTTATATCAACAGGTGTTGATCAATTTTGATTCGCTTGGAAGGTCAAAATATGCGTTTAACTCTTTATTTTCACACAACCGAACCTAACCCAAACCCGAATTAAAGACTCATATCAGACAGACTACGATCAAATTACAGCTCGACAGGTTCTTGTAATTTTAAAATACTATAATATTATGAAATTTATATTTAGTCGATTATTTAGTATGAAATCACTAGTCTTTTGACATGTAACAACACAACAATTTCCTGTCAGCTGTCAATTGCACGTCAGCTGCAATATGTTTCGTTTTCGGTGATTTGGTATAATTTATTTATTTTAAAATTACAAATTCTACGAGCATTTTATAGTGAGTGTAATGTGTCTAGCAAAATGTCTGAAGAAGAAATCGTGGATATAGAACAAGAATTAAGTGATCTCTTAACTAAAGTCCAACCCAACCTGCAAGATGTTATCAAAAGGGTAAATAAACGATATTATTGTGCAGTGTCTTCATTTATATCCTCTATAATATTAATATTACACTATTAATTCTTTACTTATAGAGTTTTACAAATGTGGCTCTTCAGCAGACGAAGAATGGTGAACAAATCAAACCAGACACACTGGGTGACACCTCCTATTTCGCAAAAAACACTCAAGTGTAAATATTTTTATTTTTGTATGTTTTTAGCACCAAATAAGACTTGCCATAAATTCGCCTAATGACTCGAATTAACTTGAGTTTCGCTTCGTGCAGAATGATAGAGAAAATTTATTTTTAATTTTACCAAACTTACCTTGTAATGAAAAGTTATCAGGTCAAAATATTAACTCTATATATATTTCAGGAACCTCTTCCGTTTAGAACTTGTGAAGGCACCTACATTCCACATGCAGGCTCTGTCATTAGATTTGAAATCCATGATTCTTACATTGCGATGTTCACTTGGGGAGGTCAATGTAAAGGGTCTGTACAGTGCATTTAATGAGAACTTGTATAATCTCATTCCTGTAATGGCTGAAGGACATGTTGTGTGAGTAAACCACATTTTCTATCATATATTTTAATCCATAGCTCCATAAACTCTACCTACCCCATAGGGACAGGCATGAAGTTATGTATGTATGTACCTATATATTATTATATATTTGTTTGTGTGCCATTTGCCAAATAAATGCTTTTTCTTTCTTTCTTGTTGAGTGGTTGAGATTTACAATGATTTGTGCCATGTTTGACTAAAATGTAACAGATATAATAGCATGATGAGATGATGTACTCAAATTTTATTTGTAATGAAACGGTTTTGATCACCGTCATTATCAAGGGCCTATAGCACTTTTACTTTTCTCACACGGAGAAGGTTTGAGCATTAATCACCATGTTTGCTAATTGCAGATTGGCTATTTTAAAGTTATAATTACAAATTATAAGTCCTAGTTTACTCCACTATGTTTTCCTTCACTGTTTGTCAATAATTTTAATGTTATATTTTCTTAAACAGTTCTGATATTATCAGATATTTATGTAATATAAAAATATAGTTTATTATGAATACAATACATGTATGTGTGTGTGACAGTATAGTATAAATACTTAGCTACTTGCATACATTCCATGTAAATACTATTTTAATAAATACTTTATATAAAAATATTAATAAAATATTAGTTTTTGAAATTGGTCCACACTAGAAATGCTTCTTATGTGTTGTAAGTGTATTTACAAACATACAAGTTCACACATGTTTAAATGTTAATGTCTTATTGTTTGTTTCATTTAAAGTTTTTAGAATAGAATTTATTTCTGAAAAATAATACACCAAAATCATAACCCTAAAATGGCTTTGCCATAGTAGAGTTATTAAATTCTTAATAAAAAATATAAATCAACTTCACCCATACTACCATTGCCATTGTTTTATATGGTGATAAAATTTTGTAATTGGATAATTACAAAAAAAAGTTTGGAATATATGAGATAAGCCGCTAAACGACCAGACATATCACCTAATGGTAAGCAATCGGCGTCGCCCATGGACACCCGAAATACCAGGGGCGTTACAAGTGCGTTACCTCAATCACACGACGAAACACAATGGAACCGTTATTTTACGTCGGTTTTCTGTGAGACCGTGGTATCACTCCGATCAAGCCGGCCCTTAAAAAATTAAAAGTTTACATAAATAACGAGTTTAAATATTTTATTGTTCAGGTCTGTCCATCATGTTGGAATGGGTAGGTCATCATTAATTATGAATGTGTTATTATTGTAATATTTACTTATATTGACGAATAAAACTGTTATTCTAGAATATCATTGTCGAACATGATCGCAGATGTAAGGGTTGGCCTAGTGCTCGAAGATGATGCATTCTCATTCATCAATCCCGGCATTGAGTTCACACACGATGAAGTCCTTGTAAAGGTAATTAATACAAGTTTTTTAAGCTTTTATTTAACTTGCAATCTTGTCTTGTAACTACTTCACTACATTGTATAAAACAAAGTCGCTATTCTGCCGTCTGTCTGTCCCTATCCCTATATACATAGGGATTAGATCTTTAAAACTACGCAACGGATTTTGATGCGGTTTTTTTTTAATAGATAGAGTGATTCTTAACTCGTCGAGTACCGTATTTATAGACACAATTAAAGAACAATAGGTCGCGGTCACCGGTGACCGCTTGGTGTTTGACAGTTTAAGGAATCCTTATATTTATGATACATGCATATTGCACCCGTGTGAAGCCGGGGCGGGTCGCTAGTATTATACAAAGCTGAAGAGTGTTTGTTTAACTTCCTATCTGCCGGTATATGAGACACAATAAAAGACACGCTGTGTCTCGCGTATGTCTTCCGGCATACCATGGGTTAATTGCACACACCAATCTCTGGGACTACTTGACTGATTGGAATAATTCTTTATGTGTTAGATAGCGTATTTATCAAGGAAGGGTATAAGGCTATTAAAAATCGCGCTACGATCAAAGGGCGCTGAGCAGAGCAAATGAAACCGCGCGCGATTAGGTAGTTTATAATATGCATATGAATTGTGGATTCATTTATTAATTTTATGCCTAAACATTACTTATTTTCAAATAAAATTGATATATCAGGTATTTATATTTTGTTATAATTATTATTTGTTATTTCCTTCCTCTTATATTAATGAATATTTATTTTAATTGGTTTCAGTTGTCCTGGCCATCTCCACAACGAAGTGGCGGTTACGAATTCGCTACGACCGAGCAGCTAGCTAAGCACATAGGTAAGATATAATGGAGGTTAAAGGTTTTATTCTATCTAACTACTTTAAAAAGTTCCTTACTAGCAATTGGCGTTCCATAGTCTCTGCCTACCCCAATGGCAGATTAACTTCCAAAAAAGACTGCCTCATTGGCCGAGTGGTCGCAAGTGTGACTGCTGGACAAGGGATCTCGGGTTTGATTCTCGACTCGGGCAAAGTTTAGGGTAAAACATTCTCAATAGTAAAGGGTTTAAAACTTTCTCAATAGTAGCACGGTGTCTGGAATATATGCCCGGTATATGGCAACAGACTCTCCTCCTATTACATGGGACTCATAACATAAATAGTGAAAAGTGGGTGTTAAATTGTACAGTGGCATTAAGTGCCGTAATGTGCACCTCTGCCTACCCCTCCGGGGATAAAAGGCGTGATGTTATGTAAATATTTCCTTACTTGTCTTATTTACCGCCGTACTCAGAGTCATTTAATGGGTACTTTACCCAGTCCTTAGCAATTGTGTTCGGAACAAGATCGTTACTAAGGAATAGTTTAAGTAATCATTAAATGTATGTATCTGATGTCGGAATACTGAAACGCTACTCAATTTTAAGTCGTGCTTAAGTATAGTTCTATCTCTACAAAGTCTTTGTAAAATGACAGAGATGGCACGATATTTGAGCACGACTTAAAATTAAGTAACATTTCAGTATTCCGGCATGAGTATGGCAGTTAATAAATGTTAACATTTCCAATCTATGTAATTTCATTCATATATCTTCGACTTTACCGTGAAGCAATAAAGTTGAAAATCGGTCACTAAAAATATTATTACTGTACCTACTTAGAATAAAATGAAAATAAACAAGGTAGGTATACATACATAAAGTATCACATTTGTCGACAGGAAAAGACGCCAACGGGTCAACAGGCTGGCAGTATTGCCGATTTCCATGTTGAATAGCATTTTCAAATATTCCAAAGACTATATTTTAGTTTCAAATTCCTATTTTAGCCGGTTCACCGCCATTCGTATGTAAATGAATTGTTATCGGCGTACACGCTGATAACCGTACGACACAACAATTAAGTTTGTTGCTGATATAATGAAGGAATTGTGTAAAACATGAATAGGTACTTTCTATAATCACCTTTACTGCTTAGGAAATTATACATGAAATTGTATAACAGAACATCGCGACTTTTATTTCCGATGGGAAACGTAGAGGTGCACACTGTTTAAAAAATATACAAAAAAAATCTCTTGTGCGTACTGCTAAGGAGTGCCAGAGTCTGTGTGTCCTGAAGAGTATAACCTGGGTGTCTTCAAGGCCCGAATGAGTAGGTTGCTTATGGGACGACGTGTTATATTGTAGACCGCACCATCGCTTTCTACCAGACGAGATAGTGGTCAAACGTCGACAATGTTATAAGTGTGTTTACAAACACAATTTCACGTACATGTGACACCCAGACCTGAAACAACAAATTATGTTGCTCCGTGCGGGAATCGCAATTATGTAGTAAAGATCAGTCAAAATTAAATAGTTTTCGTAAAAAATCACTTAATAATTTCGTATTAGAAAGTGAAAATATAACATCTTGCAAAGACCTGACACAATTAATTACGTAATAATGTAAACCGGTTAATTTGATAAACTAGTTTCCTATTTTTTTTTTATTCAAATTCTATCCGGTTATTCGATACAAGACGAGCTTTATTTACTTTTGAAATTTTATCTGCATAAAGTACGCTTATAATTTTAATTCTCGAATATGCAGAACTTTTAGATTTCAAAAAAAATGCGATAGTCAAATGTCATTTCAATCGCGGAGTCTGGTATGATGCAGTGTAATAAGATGCACCTCTACCTAACGAAGGCATGGACCATAATTATGATTTTTAAGTGTAGGGGTGCCATGCTTCAGCATGTATTGACCGGCTCGAGTGGAGTGATACCACGGCCTCACAGAAAACCGGCATGAAACAATGCATACGTTGTATTTCGCCGCGTGAGTGAGGTGAACGAAAACCCAATTCCTCCCCTATCCATTGTCCTCAATCCATTAGGTGATCTGACTGCTCGTTTACCGGCCTATCCCATAAAAAAATATATCTTAGAAACCCTTCTTCATATCTAGATGATCTGCCTCTAACGGCGGCAGTGTCCCTGCCTCTGTACGCTCTGCTGAGGGAGAAGCTACAGCTGCACCTAGCGCTGGTCCTGCGCCAGGCTACCAGCGTCTCCGAGGTCATGTGCTGTAACCCGTCGCTGATGGAAGCTTACAGGTACCTATATTTCTTATTTATGTTAAAAAATACATTTTATTTTCAACTTTCATGAGTGCATTTACAAACACGTCTTTTATATATATATACTAGCTTTTACCCGCGGCTTCGCTCTCGTCACAAAAGGATAAAAAGCCAATGTGACATATACCAATACTTTTGTTTTTCCTCGGGAATATCAAATTTTTCCGGGATAAAAAGTACCCTATTATTTAATCCGGACTTCTAACTATACATCTACTACTGCAAAAATTCAAAGCAATCGGTTTAGTAGTTACGGTGTTCAAGTGGAACAAACAAACAAACAAACAAACTCGCTTTCCGATTTATAATATAAGTAAGGATATGTTTTTGTTAGGTATTATTTAAAAATGTAATTTCTACAAATTACATTTACTTATCAATAAAATTAATCGAGTATATTAGACTTCTTATCTTTTATGCTTAAAAAAAATGCGTTGTACATACCTATGCCACTCATGTTTTATAGATAGATCAAAAGTCTGTCAACTAGTCTAAAAAGTAACCATAACCTAAACTGTCCGTTTTGTTCTCCAGCGGTATGATTGACGGGCTGGCTCGGAACGGCAACAAGGTGGTGGACATGATTCTCATCAACATCCGCCGCACGCTGCTGCAGAGCTGTCGGGAACTACTGCAACTGCCACCGCTCCACGCTACCTTCATGCATAAAGTGAGATCATTATCCACGCAAAAATCATCATTATTATAGTCTTAAATCTCTTTAAACGCTTATGAACACGCTCTTCAATTCTTCGCATGCAACCATTGCCAACCACTTAACGAATAGCGTCACTCTAACTAATAAGAAAACACTCTCCATAAGCCAGAGCTGAAGACCTAGCTCAGTGATGTGCCATTGGAAAGGCTTATGTCCAACAGTGGATGAAAACAGACTGTTAATGATGATGAACCACGGTACAACAGAACCTAACTACCTATTATATTGATACAGTATAAGCAACTTTATTGCGTTCCAGATAGGATCATTATCGTTTATCGGCAAGTTTGAGACGGACACGGGCTGGGTAAAGAACCTGGCGACCATCAACCGAATCAGTGACGTCAGCGTCACACGACCGGACCCCATGAAGACCAGCTTCTACGTCACGTTGAGGATAAAAGATTTGCAAGTAAGTCCTCGCCTTGATATTTATCAGTTTTTATAGGCTTACGTAAAGACTTTTGATATACATTTCTAAGCACAAAACACGTTACTAATCTTCCCATCTTACTGAAATAAAATGATGAATGAATGACGAAAAATCCTACCATCTTACTATCTTACTAATATTATAAATTCAAAAGCTGGCGAGATTGTCCGTGTTTGTAACCCAAACACGTTAAAACGGCTGTAAGGATAGAGATGAAATTTGCACATCTACGCGGGTAAAGCCACGAGTAAAAACTAGATAGGTATCACATGAAGAGGATTTTTTGTGCACAGATTGGTTACGACGAATACCGTATCCGCGCGATGGGCGTGTCGTGCGCGGGTCGCGCGGCCGCGGCGCTGCACCGACACTCGCTGCACCTCGCGCTCACACTCGGCCTCGCGCACTGGGAACCATACGCACAGCTCGACCATCTACGAGTGCACAACTTAGAGTAAGTAGCCATACAACGTAAATTAACCCCCTACTAGGTTCATTTTAGGCCGTTGTTTATAATCTGCTAGCGATTTTGATCTTTATTTCTTAGTTAAATCATATAGTGAAATTATATAGTCTACCTGCTAACCTCTAGTGCTTTTTTCTATGTGATTTAGGTAAATTATGGTAAAAATTACATTGGACCAAGTACACTGCCTTGTGGAATCCCTAGCAAAACATCTTTGTTTTACTATGATGCCACCAACATAATGTTCTACTTTCATTTTTGTCCTTGTCCCTTCCAGTGCAATAAAAGTGTTCCACTTTCCCCAGTTGCGCAGACTTACACGTAACGGGTCTCGGTCCGTTGAGCGGGGCTTCGAGCCTCGTATGCGCGTGGTTACGCGGCGCCTCCACCTCCCTGGCAGCGCCCGCGGTATCTGCGCAGATACAGCACGAGTTACACACCGCATTACAAGAACTACCTTTATGGGATCTGCTACATGCCAAACACTGACGTAACATGCTACTGCGACAGGTTACATAACATGTTACTGCAACGTAAGACTGCGCAACGTGATGCAGGTAATATTTATTTAGGTATTATTCCGTGCCAAATGGATGAACTATACATACATACAATCGTACGGATGATATTTGTTATGTTTTTGAGATGTCGGCTATTGCGTATATTTATTGCTTAGCTTAAACGAATGTCGTCGGATTAAAATTAAATTAAAAGAATGCTCTAAGAATTTACGTTGGTGGACCTTCTATGCACTTCGAGAAAAATTATCTTCTTCTACTTCTTTGTCTTTGTCTACACGGGTATGGACTGGATATTTCTTTCTTTATTCTTTCTTTTCGGACTACAAAGGAGTCCTTACTAGATTCGGTTGAATATATACAATATAGCAATATAGGTACTCCATAACCTACTTGCTGCTAATTTCAAAATCGTCAAATTAAGATCGAATTTAGACATGAGTTCTATAAGTTTTGGGATAAGATCAAACGGTTATTGAAATCGGCAGTAAGTAGGTATGTGATATAAAGGTCCTGTCCTCTTACACAATATCTGATTACATTGCTATTCTTCACTTCTTCGACTGCCTCGTTGGCCGAGTGGTCCGGGCAAGGGGTCTCAGGTACGGTTCCGGGGTCGGGCAAAGTATTACTGGGTTTTTAAAAATCTCAGTGGTAGCACGGAGTCTGGAAATGTGCCCGGTATATGGCAATAGGCTCACCCCCTATTACATGGGACTCATAAAATCCCCTTCGGGGATAAAAAGGCGTGATGTTATGTTATGTTATGCTGTTCTTCAAAGTTTCGTTTCACTGCCATCGTTTTCTATCAATCATATTACATTATCACGTTTTATACTGTTTTTAACTGCCGTTTCGCATGTGTAAAGTATTGTATAATTTTGTAGTTCGATTCCACATCGGGATTGTTGTTGTAAATTGATACCATTGTACATAAAAAGTAATTTTGTATTTATGTTATATATTTTTGACTCCTCTTTACATCACTGTGGGCTTCCGATATTTTTATTGTATAAATATAATGTATTTAGTACATAAGTATCTACTTTTTTTATGTTTTTTCTCATTTATTTTATGTATAAAATAAATATTTTCTGTCTTTAATACGTATTTAAAATCATATGACTATGCAACTATTCTGTAAATATAAATTACATTAAAAATATGATTTACCTGTTTGACATAACATAATAAATTCAAAGTACTGGCTGAAGAAGTACATTCATAGTTTATATTAATCGATAATAATAGTAAACATGAAGATATTATTAAAGAGCAATAATTGTTGTAGTAAATTATTTAAAAAATGTATTATTATTTTGAAAATATATTGGTTGTGTTGTGAGTGCCTTTTATCTGCTGAGACTGTTGTAATTTGTATTTTTACTATACAAGTTGTTAAATAAACTGTTTCATAATTATTACATGTTTTTATTATGCTACATCTATTAAACCACATCACTACATAGTATAAAACAAAGTCGCTATCCACCGTCTGTCTGTCCCTATGTATGCTTAGATCTTTAAAACTACGCAACGGATTTTGATGCGGTTTTTTTTAATAGATAGAGAGATTCTTAAGGAAGGTTTATATTTGTAGTACATGCATAGTACACCCGTGCGAAGCCGGGGCGGATCGCTAATTAGTAAATAAAATGTAGATGTAATCAGGGCCGGATTTAGGGTCCCCCCTAAATCCGGCCCTAAATCGCCCCGGTTGCCCCCGGTTGCCCGACTTCGGAAAAAAAAATCTTTCAAATTTCAACTAGTAAACCTAGTAAACATCTTTTCTTTGATTTTTTTTTCGCTTTTACCTTTACCTACAGCCTAAAGTACGTTATACATACATGATTATTTGATTATATTAATTTTAAATATTAACAGAAACAGAAATCATTGATCTATATTTGTTCACTCCAATCAGGCAATCAGTGAAATATCAAAATCTCAAATGGCTCTGATAAGCACTTCCAATTTACTACCCATCTTGAGGGAGTACCCCAATGGCTCAATGGCTCAGTGGGATGGTACTTGCCCGCAACCTCGGAGGTTGGATATTCGATTCCGTGTCTCGTGTGAACAATTGGTGATGTATGTGAACAATTGGTATTCTTCAATTCTTAAACTAAAAATCTGTCGAGCGTCCTCGAAATCTATCGAGCATCCTCGGTCGTTTTCGAGCGTCCCCGATTGTTTTCGAGCGTCCTCGAAATCTATCGAGAGTCCTCGATCGTTTTCGAGCGTCCTCGATTGTTTTCGAGCGTCCTCGAAATTTATCGGGCGTCCTCGAAATCTATCGAGCGTCCTCGAAATCTATCGAGAGTCCTCGATCGTTTTCGAGCGTCCCCGATTGTTTTCGAGCGTCCTCGAAATCTATCGAGAGTCCTCGATCGTTTTCGAGTGTCCTCGATTGTTTTCGAGCGTCCTCGAAATCTATCGGGCGTCCTCGAAATCTATCGAGCGTCCTCGAAATCTATCGAGCGTCCTCCAAATCTATCGAGCGTCCTCGAAATCTATCGAGCGTCCTCGAAATCTATCGAGCGTCCTCGAAATCTATCGAGCGTCCTCAAAATCTATCGAGCGTCCTCGAAATCTATCGAGCGTCCTTGAAATCTATCGAGCGTCCTCAAAATCTATCGAGCGTCCTCGAAATCTATCGAGAGTCCTCGATCGTTTTCGAGCGTCCCCGATTGTTTTCGAGCGTCCTCGAAATCTATCGAGAGTCCTCGATCGTTTTCGAGCGTCCTCGATTGTTTTCGAGCGTCCTCGAAATCTATCGGGCGTCCTCGAAATCTATCGAGCGTCCTCGATCGTTTTCGAGCGTCCTCGAAATCTATCGGGCGTCCTCTAAATCTATCGGGCGTCCTCGATATCTATCAAGCGTCCTCGAAATCTATTGGGCGTCCTCGAAATCTATCGAGCGTCCTCGATCGTTTTCGAGCGTCCTCGAAATCTATCGAGCGTCCTCGAAATCTATCGGGCGTCCTCGAAATCTATCGAGCGTCCCCGATTGTTTTCGAGCGTCCTCGAAATCTATCGAGAGTCCTCGATCGTTTTCGAGCGTCCTCGATTGTTTTCGAGCGTCCTCGAAATTTATCGGGCGTCCTCGAAATCTATCGAGCGTCCTCGAAATCTATCGAGAGTCCTCGATCGTTTTCGAGCGTCCCCGATTGTTTTCGAGCGTCCTCGAAATCTATCGAGAGTCCTCGATCGTTTTCGAGCGTCCTCGATTGTTTTCGAGCGTCCTCGAAATCTATCGGGCGTCCTCGAAATCTATCGAGCGTCCTCGATCGTTTTCGAGCGTCCTCGAAATCTATCGGGCGTCCTCTAAATCTATCGGGCGTCCTCGATATCTATCAAGCGTCCTCGAAATCTATCGAGCGTCCTCGATCGTTTTCGAGCGTCCTCGAAATCTATCGGGCGTCCTCGAAATCTATCGGGCGTCCTCGAAATCTATCGAGCGTCCTCGATCGTTTTCGAGCGTCCTCGAAATCTATCGAGAGTCCTCGATCGTTTTCGAGCGTCCTCGATTGTTTTCGAGCGTCCTCGAAATCTATCGAGCGTCCTCGATTGTTTTCGAGCGTCCTCGATCGTTTTCGAGCGTCCTCGAAATCTATCGAGCGTCCTCGATTGTTTTCGAGCGTCCTCGATCGTTTTCGAGCGTCCACGATTGTTTTCGAGCGTCCTCGATCGTTTTCGAGCGTCCTCGAAATCTATCGAGAGTCCTCGATCGTTTTCGAGCGTCCTCGATTGTTTTCGAGCGTCCTCGAAATCTATCGAGCGTCCTCGATTGTTTTCGAGCGTCCTCGATCGTTTTCGAGCGTCCTCGAAATCTATCGAGCGTCCTCGATTGTTTTCGAGCGTCCTCGAAATCTATCGAGCGTCCTCGATTGTTTTCGAGCGTCCTCGATCGTTTTCGAGCGTCCTCGAAATCTATCGAGCGTCCTCGATTGTTTTCGAGCGTCCTCGATCGTTTTCGAGCGTCCACGATTGTTTTCGAGCGTCCTCGATCGTTTTCGAGCGTCCACGATTGTTTTCGAGCGTCCTCGAAATCTATCGAGCGTCCTCGAAACCTATCGGGCGTCCTCGAAATCTATCGAGCGTCCTCGAAATCTATCGGGCGTCTTCGAAATCTATCGAGCGTCCTCGATCGTTTTCGAGCGTCCTCGAAATCTATCGGGCGTCCTCGATCGTTATCGAGCGTCCTCGAAATCTATCGGGCGTCCTCGAAATCTATTGGGCGTCCTCGAAATCTATCGAGCGTCCTCGATCGTTTTCGAGCGTCCTCGAAATCTATCGAGCGTCCTCGAAATCTATCGGGCGTCCTCGAAATCTATCGAGCGTCCTCGATTGTTTTCGAGCGTCCTCGATTGTTTTCGAGCGTCCTCGATTGTTTTCGAGCGTCCTCGAAATCTATCGAGCGTCCTCGAAACCTATCGGGCGTCCTCGAAATCTATCGAGCGTCCACGAAATCTATCGAGAGTCCTCGATCGTTTTCGAGCGTCCTCGAAATCTATCGAGCGTCCTCGAAATCTATCGAGCGTCCTCGATCGTTTTCGAGCGTCCTCGAAATCTATCGGGCGTCCTCGAAATCTATCGGGCGTCCTCGAAATCTATCGAGCGTCCTCGAAATCTATCGAGCGTCCTCGATTGTTTTCGAGCGTCCTCGATCGTTTTCGAGCGTCCTCGAAATCTATCGGGCGTCGTCGAAATCTATCGAGAGTCCTTGATCGTTTTCGAGCGTCCTCGAAATCTATCGGGCGTCCTCGATTGTTTTCGAGCGTCCTCGAAATCTATCGGGCGTCCTCGAAATCTATCGGGCGTCCTCGAAATCTATCGAGCGTCCTCGAAATCTATCGAGCGTCCTCGATCGTTTTCGAGCGTCCTCGAAATCTATCGAGCGTCCTCGATCGTTTTCGAGCGTCCTCGAAATCTATCGGGCGTCCTCGAAATCTATCGGGCGTCCTCGAAATCTATCGAGCGTCCTCGAAATCTATCGAGCGTCCTCGAAATCTATCGAGCGTCCTCGATCGTTTTCGAGCGTCCTCGAAATCTATCGAGCGTCCTCGATCGTTTTCGAGCGTCCTCGAAATCTATCGAGAGTCCTTGATCGTTTTCGAGCGTCCTCGAAATCTATCGGGCGTCCTCGATTGTTTTCGAGCGTCCTCGATCGTTTTCGAGCGTCCTCGAAATCTATCGGGCGTCCTCGATTGTTTTCGAGCGTCCTCGATCGTTTTCGAGCGTCCTCGATTGTTTTCGAGCGTCCTTGAAATCTATCGAGCGTCCTCGAAACCTATCGGGCGTCCTCGAAATCTATCGAGCGTCCTCGATCGTTTTCGAGCGTCCTCGAAATCTATCGGGCGTCCTCGAAATCTATCGGGCGTCCTCGAAATCTATCGAGCGTCCTCGAAATCTATCGAGCGTCCTCGATCGTTTTCGAGCGTCCTCGAAATCTATCGAGCGTCCTCGATCGTTTTCGAGCGTCCTCGATTGTTTTCGAGCGTCCTCGAAATCTATCGAGCGTCCTCGAAATCTATCGAGCGTCCTCGAAATCTATCGGGCGTCCTCAAAATCTATCGAGCGTCCTCGAAATCAATCGAGCGTCCTCGATTGTTATCGAGCGTCCTCGAAATCAATCGAGCGTCCTCGATTGTTTTCGAGCGTCCTCGATCGTTTTCGAGCGTCCTCGATCGTTTTCGAGCGTCCTCGATGGTTTTCGAGCGTCCTCTAAATCTATCGAGAGTCCTCGATCGTTTTCGAGCGTCCTCGAAATCAAGCGAGCGTCCTCGATCTCAATCTGGAAAATAATTTGGGGCAAGGGGGCCTCCACTCCTTTGTTGCCCCGAGGCCTCTGGACCCCTAAATCCGGCCCTGGATGTAATTTTTATAAATAAGACGATATCGATAAATGCCGCTGACGTAGCGAATTAGCGATCACTGTCGTTAGTCGTGAGATGTTTTTTTATGGAATGAACCGGTAAACGAGCAGACGGATCACCTGATGGTAAGCAATTCACACCGCCCATGGATACCTATCCACCTGAAACACCAGAGTGCCAAGCACGAATAACTATCGCATTCGTATCGTAACAGTATCGAGCGAGTTAAGAATTCTGATTGGTTGGTTTACTTGAGCCGACCAATCAGAGCGCCGAACGCGCTCGATACTATTACGTTACGAACAAATATTTTGGGAATTAAGAACTTAAGGATTGTAGGGGATTCGGGGATCGTGAAGAGGGGTAAACAGCCTCCGGTAACCTCATTCACCCGACGAAACATAACGCAAGCGTTTTTTGACGACGGTTTTCTGTGAGGTCGTGGCGTGACTTGAAACTGATCGAGTTACCTCGTCAAACAGTTACGTAAGTAAGTCGTAAAACAGTACTATAATAAACATAGACTAAAATAAGTGTATTATTTTTTATATAACTATCGTGGATTACTGTAGTGGCACTCTGACATACTGAATGAAATAAAAATGACGAGTTACTCCAAGCTGTAAAAAAGGTTAATAACAATGAAAAGGTAACTTGAAGAATTGTGACTCTTCTGGTGTTGCGGGTATCCATGAGCGGCGCTGATCGCTTAACATCCAGGTGCTCCGTTTGCTTATTTACCTGTTTTTGGCATATTCCATAAAAAACCGGTTCAAATTTATCTGGCCAGAAAGAATATAAAAGCGTACTCATTTTATTCTTTCTTCTGACAATGACATTCAGTCACTTCAGTGCAGTTTTGTAATATTTTTGGAGTAGTTTATTTTTATACTTTCTATTTTTTATGACAAATAATGATATCAAGTACGGCATCAAGATAATTTAAATAAAATTAAATAGTGAAATAAATCTTTAAGTGAAACTATAACTAGAGCGATCTATGGATTAACTTGTAATAGATATTATATGAACAAACACAATGGGGATAATACAATCCGTGATCTGTTCATTTACATTTTGTATGGAAAGGTAAGTTAACATTGTTACTTATAAGACTCGACAAAAAGCAGCTGAAGGCTATCTCCGCTTGCGCCGGTGACTCGGTTTCCACTGTGTCCTCTTGTATGCGATCGTATCATAACATAGCTTCATACAGAACAATTTAAACGCATCAAACCTGTAATACCAATATATCTGATTCTTTAGGTGAGCTCTCTTTCATCTTAAATACATGGGTAAACACAGAATACCATGAATAAACCTATTGTTAAAGATAAATATTTAAGAAAACGGACGTCCAAACGTCAAACCTAATTGGATTTAAAGTTAATAAAATCGTTTTGTGAAAGAGTAGAAACCTTAACGGCTTACTCATAAATTCACAACACGCCAGCGCGTCGTGAATGCTCCTCATGAATGTTATGAACCCCTAGTGTGGCTTGAAACTGGTCGAGTTACCAAGCTAGCTTCAGTGACGGACTGACAGCCTATTATTTATTTTGAATTTATGGACGTTTGTAAAGAACGAAATTATGGTTTAATTCAAATAAATGTTTTGACTTTGAGTCATCTCGTCAGACAGTTACGTGAGTAAGCCGTTAAAAAATAGTTTAATATAGATTTCTGGCAGGAGGTAATACAAAAGGTGTATAATGTCTAGATTTCTGGCAGGAGGTAATACAAAAGGTGTATAATGTATTGAAGAGTCGCTGAACCAACAACTGTGACCATCTATATACAGAAAGCAAAACGTCAACCTACTCATTTTTGTCAAATTTCTTTATTACATTTTCGACTCTAACAGTTAGATTTAACATCGAAAATCTCATGACAAGAATTGACACATTCGAGTAGGTTGCTGTTCACTGTACATGTGGTACTTAATTGCAAGTTTTGTCTAATATCTCTTCCAAATGCTAGAGTTCTAACATGGACCTGCTGCGCGTTCCTCCTGATGCTGCTGATGTTCTGTATAGTCATGCTGATGGTGTACGGCATATCAGTCGGCTATCACTACGCACAGAAAGAACTCGCATCGTTTGCTAGTAAGTTCCGTCTTTTTATCAATTTTCCTACAATTTACTTCTTTCTCTATATATCTTACAAAGTGGTCTAATCTAATCAGAAACTCTAACTATTTACTAACTACTGACTGCACGGTGGGCGCAGTGCGCTAGCCGGATAACCGGCTGGCGCGCAACGTGTAGCAGGTTTGATTCCCGCAAGGAGCAACTCTTTGTGTGATCCACAAATTGTTTTTCTGGTCTAGGTGTCAGAGTTGTGAATGTGAACTTGTATGTTTGTAAACGCACCCATGACACCGGGGAAGATCCTAGTGTGGGGCAAAGTTTAAAAAAAAAAAAAAATAACTTCCGAATATTTGTAGTAAAAAATTATACTTACTTACATTCGTTTTTACATATCACCATGGTTATTATAAGCTCTAAACAGGGAAATCTGCTGACTCTAACAAAGAATATGCTATCAGCATCAGCTGTAGATAGCATCAGGGCTTGATGATCGAAGATACCTACTTTAATCAAACAAAACTTGTGACACGACAAGCATTTAAACATTGGTTCTGCCAGGATATTCTGTAAGACGCCAATTCGGACTCTGGAATCCGGACTCTCAAGACTCGATCACATTCTCGCGCGTCCTTATTCAACCAATGATATGGTGGACTACGATCGAGTTTACTTCAATCTTTCAAATTGAAAATTACAGAATAGCGTAGCAACAATTTGATGTTTATGGGTCAGATGGCTACCCCATCGGAATCTGAGAGTATGAGTATTTGGGAACACTTGTGGTCTCTGTTTAGCGAGCATCAGTTACAGAATTTTCATTCGAACATCAATTTGTGACACAGTGTCGTCGAGACAGACGACGGAGCCCGCGTTGTTGCGAGCCGGCCCAGAGAACAGGCCGGTGGTGCGCCTACTCGCTGTCAACAGATCCGAGGAAGAAAATCCACCACAACCAATACTTGGTAAGTAAACTATATTAACTAAAGTAATCGAAACGAGACCGTGTCCGGCGCTCTGATTGGTTGGTTCAATGGAGCCGGCCAATCACAGCACCGAACGCGGTCTCGTTTCGATTACTTTAAACGTAAAAGAAAGTCGTTCTAAGAGTCGTACTACGAGTAAAATAACTCGTACTATGGCCTCAGGGCGACTCGTCATCAATAACTGACATAATCTTGTAAATACGAATATCCTGTGTAAACTAAATCTTTTACTTAATGAAAACTTCTTCGTTGCAGAAGTTTACCAAACCAAGAAGCCTGGGGACCAAGAGCTTTTCATTGAGAAGTCAGAAACACCAATAGTGCTTCTAGAAACTGAAAGGTTTGTATTTGCGACGATTGAAATACACTTGGTACTGATTGCATTACATATGGTTCTGCTTTCGTATCGCACCCACTGTTGGCTCCTCTCTGAATCACCTATAGGTTTGATTGGAAGAAAATGACTACGGCGCGGCGTTAAGGTCGCTTTATACAATTGTTTGTGCAAAAGGTTAAATAAATAAATAGGATGAATTTATTTCACAGGCCTCCCAAGGAGCCGGAGTTATCACCCAACGAGCGGGAACTGGCGCGCAGGCTCATTGGTCGTTTCCGTCGTTCGCGCAACAACACAACACCTTTCCTCAAACCTTTGAAGCCGTTTAACAGCACATACGTCAAAACAACGTCACTGACAACATGAAACACATACTAAATGTTATCTCCTATTGAGATACCTAGTACTTATATCTTATACTTATTAATTTAGAAGGTGTATACCTCTTTTACTATTTTGTTTATTTTACATTATTATACATGATTAATAACTTTATATAATACCTAATATATTATTTATTTTATTTATTTACATCTTTATTTTTTATATTATTGATATGTTTTCGTACTTATTTTCTCTTTTGTATTCTATTTTTATTTATGTTTTATTTTTATAATTTTATGTAATCGTTTACCTAAGTTTTTGTAAATTAATAAAGTATTTTCTATAAAACCAATTTTATTTACGAAAATTACGCTTACAAACGTTATTGGGGGACAAAGTTAACTGGAGACAGTGTAATTAGTTGTATTATTTGATGAGAGCTGGAGTAGAGGTGGATTGTTGAAGACTGTGAGGGTCTCGGGCTGTGTGTAGTTGTTGCCGACTGTCAGGTTATTACTCGCTAGAGGAGCATCAGCGTCGCGCCGCGAGTGGCGGTGCGCGAACCCTCGCTGCACTGCTTTGTTTACAGAGCGCAACAAGTTGCCCTGCCGACGACGTATTGGGTCAGTGATCCCTGAGTCTGCTGTCGCCTTGCCAGCCTTCGCTGAAAACAAACAAAAAAGGTCATACCCAAGGACATAAAATAAAATACTCGTATTTTACAATACCACAAATCTGCCTATACATAATAATAGTGAATAGGTTGCTTATGGGACGACGTGCTCCATCGTAGACCGTATCATCGCTTACCATCAGGCGAGATGGTGGTCAAACGTCACACCATCAAATATAAAAAAAAAATTACGAAAGTTCATGTAAGTACATACGATTGAATTACTTACTCATAGTTTGCACTGAGGTTTGTACAAAACAGTAATGGTAGCCGATACCGATCCCCAATACCAATACGGTTAGTATAGTGAACAAGAGACAACATGTCAACATAGCACATACAGTGCATAGTGATATTCTGAAATCATAATATACGTTAGCAGTATAGGTAGGCGAGGTACTCTTACACTGAATAACAACTACCTAAATACTGTACCTTTCGAGAGCATCTAAGACAACTGAGATAAATGAACTTAGAGAACAACACACACAGCCCATTTTGTACAGACAACATTGGATCACGAGGAATTTGTCGGCCAAATCATGCAATTAGGTACAAAACGCTGTTACCTACATAACAATTTATTCATCAACCTGAACACCCATTTAGAAAGGATAAGACTCTTAAACTATTTTGATTTAATGTCGCTCTTTTTGTATACTGACATGACAGATATACCAATAAAACGTTATTTGAAGGATCATGATACTTCATCATAGAGTAGGTAATAAGTTTTTGGTAATGTATAACAAGGACATTGAAAAAAAGGATATACATAGTCTCTTGAAGCAACGACTATGGCACCTGGTACTCTAAACTCACACGCAGAATACACACACATTGACACGAAGGACATCTATCGCGTAACATGGCCTGTCATAACACTTTATCAACATCATACACTTAATATATGATGCTGGTTTTCTATGTACACGCACACCTATTGGTGCACACTGACATTTTGGTGCTTAAACTGTCAAACACCAAGCGGTCACCGGTGACCGCAACCTAAATACGGTACTCGACGAGTTAAATCAAGTCTAAGTGACATTACGTCCACCTTTTTTTTCGAATGTCCTTGGGTAACGTATATTTATTACTCACGTGAATATACCTACTGAGAAAAGCTCTACTAGTTTCGAACCACAGAGGGGTTCTTCCTCATGTGCGGTCGCGGCGATGTCGCGCAGCCTACTGAACCTTTAAGTTAATTGAATATCTTACGCCAGTTATTATAAAAACGTATAATTTATTATACCCTTTTTACAATGAATGCATGCTAAGTATGTAAGGTACTTACAGTCGGTAATATAATTACCGTGGTTACGATTAGCTCGTACCTATAAGAGCTTCGAAGCGCGTCTACACACGTATACGAGTTGCATGTGTGCCCAAAATTCCTAACACATGCTAGAAAACTTTTACCAACGTCCTTGACAAAAACTTTGTCTTTAACTTAATAAACCTTTTTACCGTTTGACTTACGTTTGACACTGAAGTTTAAAATATTCAACAGTTTTGTATGATTTTGTACCGCTTAGTGCTATTTTTCATAATTTAATAGCGAATGCCTAATTTTATGAAGTTTCAACTAGTAATAAATATTGAGGATTAATATACCTATTTGTAGATATTTAAAGAATTTGCTATAATACATTTTACCTATTGACAATAATTATCTTTTGTGTGGTAAGTACCTACCTATGTACAGTATTTAAGTCTATTAGCTCTCTCTCTCGATTCTGTCCCAGAATCAATAGAGCTACTAAATACACGCTACTAGACATTGGCGTCGTCATGGTTGGGCACAGAGGGGCAGTTGCCCCACCCTAGGACAGGCCCAACTCGAAAGAAGTGCGTTCAGGCAAGAAAAACATCACATTTTTGGCTACTTAGCTCCAACTATATTTTTTGGTTCATCGATTGATGAACCATCAGGACGAGATGTCCACTGCAGAACATAACTAAGCCATTCCAGATAGGCCGGATCGATGCAATCTGCATCCAGCGGCTTCCTTCAGTATCTTGCATGTGTACCTCTACTGATATTCTACTTCATTGTGTAAAATAGGCTTAAATTCAAGATGTAATATTGTAACGTTTCAAAATATTATAAATTGTAACTTTTAGAGTCTCGTTCAAAGTGTGCATGCCGTTAAAGGTAAATGTGCTGAACATGTATTAAAGTATCACATTTGCATTTGAGAATAAATAAATGATTATTACTTCTTTTATCAGATATTATCATCTCTACAAGAAACATGGGGATTGTACAATCTTTAATCATGGCTTTGACTTTTTGTGTGGAAAGGTAAGTGATGATAATTTTTCATTTAAGTAAGACATCTACTTAGATCAGATAAATAGGTACCTAGACAATTTATTTATTTGGCGTACTTTGGTACCTACGTATATTGATAATGGTGTTTGTAGATATGTAGTAAAGTCGTTATCTCTCACTCTCTCTTCAGTCATTCCCTCATATCTGAGGATCGTGGTCAGCATCAGGATTGCATTTGGAGCGGATGATCTGCTTTCAGAGGTTTCTGTCCAGCGCGTCTTTTACAGCCGTGCAAAATTTTGAGGACGAGTCTTTTATTGGACCGGTCCATCTTGTTGGAGAACGCCCACGCGATCTCTTGCCTTCGGTGCTTCCAACAACAATCAGCTTCTCCAGGTTCTCGCAGCCCCTGCGGACTGTGTGGCCAAAGTAAGAAAAGTACGTTGCTGGCATATAGTGGACAACCGAATTTTTGTCCGAAGTTGAGACAAGATCGATGCATTGGTGCGATTTGCTGCCCAAGGTACTCTTAACCTTCACCTCCAACACCACATTTCGAACGCATCTATCCTCTGTCTCTCTTGCGCCATCCTAGTCCATGTTTCCACTCCATACAAGAAGATAGGAAATACCAGGGCTCGTACCAATCTGATCTTGGTTTTGATATCTATTCCTCTTTTCTTCCATATTCTGTTTAGACTAGTCATAGCATCCTTGGCCATCCCGATTCGTCTTTTTATTACACTAACATACTTGCCGTTATTGCAGATTTGGGAGCTGTACATTATAATGGTCGACTATATCAATACCAGGGACGCCGCATGTAACATGCTCCAATTTTCCGGCTCAATCTGTTACCAATTACCATCAACTTAGTCTTCGCTCTATTCTCTCCGAGACCCATATTGCGACTTTCCACCTCGATTGTCTATTTGAGCTATTTCCACAGCATTATGTCGTACAGCATTTAGTTGCGGGGTCGAGCTGCAGATATAGAATCAATTTATATTCCATAAAAGCGGGCTATCCGAGCAATATAACTTACGCCGTTGCGAATCGCTGAAAGAACTGTTTAAAACGATAAATATTTTAACGGTGCCCTGTCATATACAATACATACATATTTGAAAATATAATGTATGTAAGGAAAAATAGGCAACTGTTTGAAAAAAGAAGGAACAGACATAATTTTAATACTAGAGGCAAAAATAAGTTAGCTATACCGCGATTCAGACTGTCCAAGGTACAGAAATCCTTCTTGGGGCTATGTATGCTATAATAAAATACCAAGTAGCATACTATATCTTAATGAAAATATAATAAGCGCGAATTATGTAATCAAGCTTACTACAAACTGACAGATTATCTTGAAGATAAGAATGCTTGGCAGCATGTTGGTTCGGCTCCAACAAACTGGACAATACTCAAATTTAGTCAGTAGTTAGATTCCAATAGTAGGTAATCCAATACTTTCATTCTAATGTAGACAATCTAGTTTCCTTAAGTCATCGAACATTTCTTTCTTTATTGAAACAAAGAGTTTTCTTTTTCTTGTATAGAAGCACTATTTTTATGGATTGTCAGTTTGCTTATGTGAGCACCATGTTGGACTATAAGATTTCTTTTTGTTTTATTTTTTTATTTTAGTTAGTTTTGTAATTTGTATAATGCGTCAAGCGTGTCTTTGCATTGTTCTCACATATACGTCCAATATATATGTATCAGAGACATTGTAAAACATACTTTTTTTTAAAAGAGTAACGAATGGAGATTCTTGTTCGTTCTTCTCCATTCGAATCTACATTTTGGAACGAGCACCTAGCTTCACCTAGCTTCACTGACGGACTGACTGACTGACATTATTTATTTTGTATCTGTAGACGTTTCAAAAGTACCAAATTATGGTTTAAACTGTCAAACACCAAGCGGTCACCGGTGACCGCGACCGATTGTTCTTTAATTGTGTCTATAATACCGGTACTCAACGAGTTAATTGAAATAAATGCTTTGACTTTGACTTTGACTTCGAGTCTCTGTAACAGCTCACACATGTCTTCCATGAATGTAGCGAGAAGAACAGTGTCATCAGCATATCGCAGGTTTGACAGTATTTCCACCTATCGGAAATCCCCTCTCCCAATTCTCTATGGTCCTCCGAATGATATATTCTCCATATATGTTACTCTTTAACATCCAGGGGATAGAATGCAGCCCTGTCTCACACCTTTTTTTATTTGGAACATATTGCAGCATTCAGTGCCTATCCTAATGGAAGAGCGGTTCTCCACGTTTAGACTCTGGATTAAAGCAACAAGGTGAATAGAAGTTCCCATTTCGAGTAGCACATTCCACAGTCTGTCCCATTGCACGCGGTCAAAGGCTTTTGTGTAATCAATAAAACACAGGACTACAGGGCTGTTGAACTCCCTGCTCTTCTCCATTACTTGACGGACGTTAAGTATTTGTTCCCGCGTTGCCCTGCCCCTCACAAAGCCCGCCTGCTCCACGGGTATGTGTCGGCATAGGAAGTGGCCAAGACGTCGATCGTAGTTAAGTCGTTATAATTATACATAAAAGTTATTATGTTATCTTTTAGTAATAAATGCCGTATCTGTCATCAGAATCTTGACATGGATTTGCTGCGCTTTCGTCCTAATAGCCCTAATATTCGCACTACTCATGCTGATGGTGTACGGCATCTCGGTAGGCTATCACTACGCACAGAAAGAACTAACTGATTTTGCCTGTAAGTACCTACTTATGATGTCTATTTTGTTTCCAGTAGGTAATAGGTACTACTTATTACTTAAATCTAGATCTCGACATCGTGACTTTACTTGATAGCAATCGGCATAATGCCCGTTTGTAATATTTCTGTACCCGTTACACACCTTACGACAATCGATGGAAAATGTGCAGTTCTAACTGTACCGTCGGACTGTATACTTAAATCATAAGGTGTATGAGCTGTATGTATCTACAATTTAACAATTAAAACTGCACAGTCAATATCGTAACGATAATCTTAAGATGTGTAGCCTGCATAAGACTCTTTTCACTTGGTGAAGAGTACCTACTCTATCTAATAGACCTCTATTGCGTAGATATACTTAATAAAATATTTCTGTGGTCTATTGTATCTATATACACCTGCCGTGCACATTCAGGGAAGAAAACGTCTGATGTTATAATATTTATTTCAATTTAAACCCTGCGTTACTGATTGTTTTACTTAAGGCTGTTGTTTAATATAATCATTGTCTTACAGACTTCACGAGAGCCGAACCAGGGGAGCAATACCATTTGCGAACCGGACGGAAAGATATCGAAAACATGCCCGAATCCGCCAACATAACTAACGAAGAAGACGGTAACTCATACGAGCCACGACCAGTATATGGTTAGTAAGTTACGGGGTTTTCCCATTAAGGTATAGTGTGACTTTGTGCATACGTATGAATAAGTGTTCTTCTAATTTCCAGAAGCTTACCAGAATCAAAATCGTGAAAAGCAAGTTTACAGGCAACCACAAGAAACGCCAATCGTCCTCATAGCAACTGAAAGGTTTGAAACGTTTTAGTAACATAACTACATTATTGCTTTAGCATTTCGTGTCTTTTTTATCTATCCTGTAGGTAACCAATGAGTGACACATTTTCAAATAAGATTATTATCCTCTCCTCAGGTCTCGGAAAGACCATGAATCAGCACCTCATGAGCGTGCTTTGGCACGCAAAGTCATAGGTCGCTTCCGTCGCTCCCGCAATAATATACGGAGACCGACACGACATTTTCCTAAGGCATTGAAGTATTCAAACAGCACCATCTCACGTGGCAGAACAATGGCATTTAGATGAAATACCCGAATCTTCCACTGTGTCTTAATTTGTATTTGGATATGAGGATACTTAACTAAGGTACGAGTACCGACGAAAATGACTACATAGCGTAGGTACCTAACTTTAGGCAGTATCCACATACCTACATAAGTATGCATTCATATCTTAAGGTACATAAACTACCTGTATAGTAGCTTTCGATAACTAATATTATTTTTTAGATTCTATGTATAGTTATTTTATAAAGTAATATATTTTTATATTTTTAATGTTGTAAGATTAATAAATAAAAATGTTTAATATAAAACTAATTTTATTAACCGACTTCCCGAAAAGGAGGAGGTCCACTATCTATTGTCATCCATTTAGAATAAGACTAAGATGCAATAGGCAGGCTCGGTACCAAACTTTACAAATTTTTCAACGCCTGCTCCCGCTCAGTGGCACTGGCACGCAAGTATCCTTAATCGTCTTCTGTGAAAGGATAAAGTTATAGATATGAGTGTGGGAGAGCAATGCTTCGGCACGAACGGGCCGGCTCGACCGGAGTGATACCACGGCTTCACAGAAAACCGACGTGAAACAACGCTTGCGTTGTGCTTCGTCGTGTGAATGAGGTTACCGGAGGCCTCATTGATGACGGGGGGAACCTTCAAAAGGCGCTTAGCTTTTTGGGGAGAAAGACTAGGGAGTGTGGGATTTTGGGGCGTTACAATCTCATAAAATGAGGCCACTTCCCTCCAGGTTTCTGTCTCTGCCAGCATAGCCTTAACTACTGGCGGCTCAGAGGCCCACGCTGGGCATTCCTTGAGCGTGTGCTTGTCACGTCGGCAGTAGTGGCAATTTATTAGCGGCAGAATTTATTTATTTATTTAATTACTAGCTGTTACCCGCGACTTCGTCCGCGTGAAATAACGACTTCTGTATAAATTGGGTTTTTTAAATTAGTCTTTGTCAAGGTATATTCTACGGCTGTACAACTGGAACAAATATCATCACAATCGATTCAGTACCTAGGTTATATTTATTGAGAAATAAATTTATTTTCGTGGTTTCTAAAATAAACAATCCCATAGAGGTTTTACCCGTACAGTGCCCGTCTCGTGAGGTTTCACTATTCTATGTTTGCAAATTAATGTTGTATCGCATTTCAATCAAATAGATATAGTGATTTTAACAGCACAGTTCCCGGTTTCGTGGGTTTTTCGGGTTAAAAACTTTAAGATGTCCTTTCCCGGGTCTCAAACTATCGCTGTACCGAATTTCACCAAATAGGTTCAATGGTTTAAAAGGTAAGAGCCCCTCTTTATTTCAACGTCCTTGGTCCTGGTTTTTTAGCGCATAGTTTCCGTCATTTTTGGATTTCCTCTCTCCTATAATGTGACCTGATATGTAGACAAACAGCAAACTATCATAGTGAATTTGGCCTTGACGGTCTAAAATGAAAAGGACTAATATTATTTTTTAGCTATGTGCATTTAGCTAGTTTTTTGATATACATATAAAAAATACGAATTCAAGTAAACTGAAAATATTTTATTCGTGGTTTTATCTCCTTAGACTGCTGTCAACCTCTTTGTATACCTTAATATTAATACCATAGTATAAAAAAAATCTATGACACATTGACTTTGTAAACTCACTTGTCACACAAATGTCAGATGACTTAAGAAATGTATACTAATAATATAAATTTGTATGTGCTTGTTTGTTTGTTTGTCCGTATTCACGACAGAACGGAGTCAGGAAGGTTTTTGATTTGAGATAATTGAAAAGATGGAGAGTATCATAGGCTACTTTTTGTCTTTTTCTAACCCCCTTCCACTTCCGCGAAACAGAGGTGAAAGTTTGTATGGGGTATTTTGCAATTTTCAATGTGGAAAGCTAACAATTGGTATGCGGGTTATTTGTGACCAGCATAGAATCGTGCATCATTTCATTTTTTTATTGTAAATCCTTCCCTCACCCCATTAAAAGAACGCGAGAGAAGCCGCAGACAGAGGCTAGTCTATGAATAAATTGTATTCAGTCAATTGAATTCGTATTTTGTCTTTAAAATCCCTGATCCCTGATGCAGCTGAATACTAATATTATTCCTTGAAAACCCACAGAACTTCATTTTTATATGTTGATGCCAAAATATATTATGAAAGTAGGACGCCATAACAATTACAAATCATTAGGTTGTTACCTGTCAGATATCCGTTTTCAGGTTTTCAGATAAATCGTAATAATTATTCTTAAAAATCGACATAGTGAGTCGAAATTTCAAAAACGCTAGAACAAATGTTTTATTATTTTTTATCAAGTGCTTAAATATAAAGTTTCATGGTTTTATCTTTAAAAATTATGAAATCCCATACACCCCCCCCCCCTTTTAACCCCTTACAACCCCTTTTTCGCGATAAAAAGTAGCCTATGTTTTATCTCGGGGTCTAGAATATCTGTATACCAAATTTCATTCAAATCCGTTCAGTAGTTTTGGCGTGAAAGAGTAGCAGACAGACAGACAGACAGAGTTACTTTCGCATTTATAATATTAGTTAGGATTAGGATGAATGACTTCGACAACGCGCTTACGTGAGAGCTCCGGCTGCTCTAGCCGCTCACCCCTGCTCCGCCTCAACCTAACGAACGCCACTCCTGGCACCTACGAATTTAATCGTGGACCTTCGCGTCCACATCCTCCAGAATATCAAATGTCGAAAAGCGAGCTAGAAGAGATGTCACCTCAGGAGAGTTGCCGCGAGTCCGAAACCTACCAAACAACGCTAGTACCACAGTGAATTCTCCCGAGTTATATGTAGGTACTTTCTATAAGACTTTCTATAAGTTATATGTAAGACTATTTTCCAGTTTCCTTGCAGACACAAACAAATATAAAGGTGATTGTGGTTAACTCGAATGCACTGCCTGCATGTCTGTAAACTTGTCTGTAAGTCTGTAACAACGTCTGTAAACGCTTTATAATCCTAATCCTAACTAATATTATAAATGCGAAAGTAACTCTGTCTGTCTGTCTGTCTGCTACTCTTTCACGCCAAAACTACTGAACGGATTTGAATGAAATTTGGTATACAGATATTCTAGACCCCGAGATAAAACATAGGCTACTTTTTATCGCGAAAAAGGGGTTGTAAAGGGTTAAAAGGGGGGGAAAGTTGTATGGGATTTCATTATTTTTAAAGATAAAACCATGAAACTTTATATTTAGGCACTTGATAAAAAATAATAAAACATTTGTTCTAGCGTTTTTGAAATTTCGACTCACTATGTCGATTTTTAAGAATAATTATTACGATTTATCTGAAAACCTGAAAACGGATTCGGACAGGTAACAACCTAATGATTTGTAATTGTTATAGCGTCTACTTTCATAATATATTTTGGGCATCAACATATAAAATGAAGTTCTGTGGGTTTTCAAGGAATATAATTAGTATTCAGCTGCATCAGGGATCAGGGATTTTAAAGACAAATACGAATTCAATTGACTGAATACAATTTATTCATAGACTAGCCTCTGTCTGCGGCTTCTCTCGCGTTCTTTTAATGGGGTGAGGGAAGGATTTACAATAAAAAAATGAAATGATGCACGATTCTATGCTGTTCACAAATAACCCGCATACCAATTGTTAGCTTTCCACATTGAAAATTGCAAAATACCCCATACAAACTTTCACCTCTGTTTCACGGAAGTGGAAGGGGGTTAGAAAAAGACAAAAAGTAGCCTATGATACTCTCCATCTTTTCAACTATCTCAAATCAAAAACCTTCCTGACTCCGTTCTGTCGTGAAATACGGACAAACAAACAAACAAGCACATACAAATTTATATATTAGTTACATTTCTTAAGTCATCTGACATTTGTGTGACAAGTGAGTTTACAAAGTCAATGTGTCATAGATTTTTTTATACTATGGTATTAATATTAAGGTATGCAAAGAGGTTGACAGCAGTCTAAGGAGATAAAACCACGAATAAAATATTTTCAGTTTACTTGAATTCGTATTTTTTATATGTATATCAAAAAAACTAGCTAAATGCACATAGCTAAAAAATAATATTAGTCCTTTTCATTTTAGACCGTCAAGGCCAAATTCACTATGATAGTTTGCTGTTTGTTTATGGCATAAGCCGGTAAACGAGCAGACGGATCACCTGATGGTAAGCAATCTGCGCCGCCCATGGACACCTGTAACACCAGAAGTGCTAGAAGTGCGTTACCGGTCTTTTGGGAATTGGTAATTTGAGGATTGTCAGGGATTGGGGGGGCTGGGGGAGGGGTAATTGGGCCTCCGGTAACCTCACTTACACAGCGAAACACTCCTTTAGGTAACCGAGGGCTGGGCTCGCTGTCATTGCAGCGGAAAGTCCCCTCTTTAAAAGTGGCTTTAGAGAGGCCATCAATGCAAGGACCGCCCGGAGAACACGGTGGAGCATACCGTGGCGGTGTACCTTGCATGGGCTGAGCACCGCCGTGTTCTCAGGGATGTAGGAAACGGTGACCTCTCGCGTTCGGCTCTGGTTCAGGCCATGGAGCGAGGGGGATTGGGATGCAGTCGCATCCTTCTGCGAAGCAGTTATGCTTGCCAAGGAGAAAGCGGAGCGCGTGAGGGAATGAACTTCCTCACGCCCCAGCCGTCCCGGGAGACACTCTGGGCGTCGGAGATCGGCCGGCCACCGGCCACCGTAAGTGCGGGTCTGTAGACGAAGAGCAAGGGTAGCTCGCCACCCGACCAGAACCAGTCCCGTGCATACGGCGCGCGCCTTACAGAGCCATGACACCATCATAGATGGAGCCCAGTAGGGCTGATGCTCGATACGGAGCCGCGGGAGGCCTAACGAGTTAACGGGGCTCCGGCTCGACGAGCAGGAGTAGGAACGTAGTGGATTTTAGTCAGTAAGAATCTGTCACTCCCTCTCACCTAACCCAAGGCGGGAGAAGTGATTGGATGATTTTCCGACCTCAAAAAAAATCTCCTTTAGGTAATGACAACCCGATGTGTGAAAAACT